TGCACACTAAGTGCTGAATAAGATGACTTAGGACAGGTAATCAGTGCTCACAAATGTCACCGCTACTATTATTCATCAAAAATCAGCCACATAACAATCCCATAACTGAACCACGGGAGGTGGGAAATCAAGAAATCCAGCTGGCTCCTTCCATTGCCTTTACGTTGGCCCAGCTGACTCAGCCGTTGTGGGAGCAGGCAGCAAGGCCTCACTAGCTTCTGGGGATTTGTACATCACTGGATTCCTTTTTGATTGTTGGTCGCAGGGCTTGAACTCAGGGCCTGGATGCTGTCTTTGAGGGTTTTGGGGGGGGGGGGTTGCTCAAGGCTAGAACTCTATCACTTTGAGCCACAGCTCCACTTTCAGTTTTAGGTGGTTAATTGAAGAAAAAGAGGCTCACAGATTTTCCTTCCCCAGACTGGCTTTGAACTGTGATCCTTAGATCTCAGCTTCCTGAGTAACTAGTATTATAGGCATGAACCACCAGTGCCTGGCTATCACTGGTATCTTTGTGATACATCAGAAGCCACCAGCTGAAGCATGATGCTAACTTTTGCAAGCATTTACCTTGTGTTTTAGGAGAGTCTTCCAGAAGCTAGGGTAGTGACAGAGCCCTCTGTATCCCATAGGCCCATCTGCCCACAGTGATTCATATTCCTTACTGTCCCCAGAGTTCTCCTAATCCTGTCCGGCCAGTTCCTCCACACACTCCTTTGCAGCTTTGGTTGTTGTCCTGTGGACCAGGGCCAAATGTGAACTGTCACCTCTTTCTGGGAGAGAGAACCAGGCTATTTTCCATAAGGATGCTACATGGCCAGTGCTGGCCTTCACATGCTAATCAACGTATGGACAAGTCTCCAGGGGCACACACCTAGCACCCTGGTCCCACCAGCTCCCCTCCTTGTTCATGTCTGCTCTATGCTTTCCATTTCTTCCTTCCTGATCAATTCTCGCTCTGAAGATTTTTATGCCCACCTGCTGCCCACCACTTCCCAAGCTCCTGACTCCGTTTCTCATGGCCAACTTCCTGCAGCATGGAGAAGAAAATGGGGAACTTGGCAGTTCCTTGAGTATGTCTGCTCCCTCCTCCCCAACTCTTTTCCCTCTGCCCTGCATCCCTCTTCACTCACAGGCTTACACTCATCACTTTCTTGGGACCCAGAGCATCCTGCTTCCAAACAGATGTACTGGAATCTCCCTTCAAGGAGGAACCCTGTCTTGGGATCCAAACACAGATGAGACATGGAGCTTTTGATATTCCAGCTTTTGATATCCAGTGAAGTAGGCAGGAGCCTAAAATCAAATCCTGATTGCTACTAAAGCCAAAGCAGGACATGGTCATCTGATGCTAAAGACACAGCCTAGGTGCCTGTCTAGATTGCCAGTTCTATGCAGGAGCAAAGGGCAGGAGTGGGACGGCCCTGTTCTGGTACCCAGGGTAATGTAAATGCCATTCAACTCTCAACGGCATTTCCCAGAAGCACATCTGTGGATGGGTTTCAAGGTGGCTTTAGTTCTATGAACTCCCAGATGAATAGGCTGGTCCGTCTTCTTACAATGGTTTCTGTTGGAAACTTGTCTGCGTTCCAAAAAATGAATTATAGGCATGGCAATCCTCGTCCTGTCTTGAGGGCAGGCCCTGGCTCCTACTCTGTTTCAGGGAGTGAGAGGAGGGACCAGGCTTTCATAAATGTTTTTTCTTCCGTTATATGTGGTTTTCCCCTCAACACCTTCCTCTCTCTTCTTTTGCTTTTAGAAGTCTACAATCTTGGGATTTCCCAGGGAGCTATTTAGACAGAAATAAGATGCTGGCAGTAGTAGCCTAAAAGGGATTCATGTCCACTAGGGCTGGGTGACCTATGAGCCTGCCTTCTTTTCTGAGATCCAGTAGCAAGTGGTTTGGACACTCAGATGGCAGAGCTCTAGGCTGCCACTGCCACACCTGTGTCTCTGAGCCACTGTGGCTGTAACTACCACTGCAGCTAGACTCTTCTTGCTCTTTCTTTTCTCTCTCAGGAATCCCAGAGCCTGCCAAGGCCATATGTTCCTAGAAGATCTCGCACACTCTGGCTTTCTAAGTACAGCCATGCAGCCTGAGTTCTAGATACCTAGACAGCAACTCGGTGGTCCTGGTTTATGGGGGAGACTGACATAGAAGGAAAAAAAACCCAAGAGACAAATGGAATGTGGCTCCCAGAAAGGAGAGAGGCCTGCTGAGCCTGTCATTTAATGCACGAAGCGTTATGCCTAGTTACATACCTGGGGTTTCATGACCAGTGTGGTGTAATGATTCAACACTGTCTTGAGCACAAAAGTGGGACAGATTTGAGTCTGAATTTGGCTACGGGAGCTTAGGAAAATGCCTTAGTCTCTTAAAGCCTCAGTTTCCTCATCTGTACAATATCCACCAGCTGAACAGGAAGGCAGAGAGATTATGAGAACCAAGTAAGACAATATATGCAAACCCCTCTTCTGGGCCTATAACCAGTCCATAGTTAGTGTTTCCCCACCCCACTTCCCTGTGCTCATGCACTCGCGTGCGCACACATGCGCGCGCGCGCACACACACACACACACACACACACACACACACACACACACACACACACACACACACACACACACACACACAAAGGCCTAGTCCCTATCTTCCTGATCCTAGGCCTTACCAAGCAGAACGAAGCCAAGACACCAAAAATCTCTTTTCCATGAAGGTACCAAAAGTACCTATTCTTTTTGCATTGCTCAAAATAATGAAGCATCTTTCATCCATGGAACATGGTGATTTTGCAAATCTTAATCCCCAAACGGCTTCATGCATTGGCAGTTTACAGGTGCACAGCACAAGTCAAAGTGACTCACCCCAAGGCTGGGGAACTAGCTCTAGTGTTCACCCTTTCCTTTCTGAAGAGATGGAGCTCATCTGTGTGCCAGAGGCTGCCTGCCGTGGGGCCCAGGAACTGTGCTGTGTTTACCTTGACTGTCAAAGGTACGGGTGGGAAGGAGACATGAAGAGAGCTCATTAGTTCAGGGACAGTTCCTGCCAGGCCAGTCACGCTCCCCTCCAGAGGCATGCAAAACATCCCCATGGCATCATCCTTTGACGCAGGTCTGGATCACTGGCTGACTTGGGCCCAGAATGGTTTGTGGCAGTGCCAGCAAAGTCAGAACGTGCCTGTTCCCCAGCTTCAAGGGAACTAAGCCACTAAGACTCTTCCTGGCTAGGGCAGGGATTCTTGCCTCAATTGCCTCAATTGGACTAGAAACTTACCTTTTGAAATGTTTCCAGGGACCCCCCAAGAAAGAACTACATTTCCAAAATTAGCATCTGTGGGGCTACAAGAAAGACCACCTAGGTGGGTTTCTCATCCATTTCTTTCCCGGTACCTCCTATACCAATTCGGTGGTCCACACTCCATAGCAGTAGTTGAGAAGCCCAGGCCAGGCCCTAGGTTCAGCAGTGGAAAACTCTTTGGATGTTTATTTCAAAAGCCAGAAGCTTTATGTGAGTGAGTGAGTGAGTGAGTGAGTGAGTGAGTGTGTGTGTGTGTGTGTGTGTGTATGTGTGCGCGTGTGTGCATGCTCACGCGCGCAATGGCTTTCTGTATTCCAAGAGCAGATTCCTGTGTCCACACTTAAGTAAGGAAGTACAAGATGCCTGCATGCTTCCTGTGCAATTGAGGAATGACCAATAAGACTTCTCTAGTATTTTGCACTGATTTGCATCTACTCCTAGGATGACCTGCCTGAGGCACAGCTCATCTGTGTCACTACTGAGATATCTTTCTGTATCACTATTTGGAGACATCTTTCTGTATCTCTATTTGGTGAAGTTCATGTTATTTGCAGAACTCAGAAAACCTTCCTTCTTTATTGGAATTTTACTGCTTTGTTTCCAGAAACCTCCAGTACTGTAACAAAAGAGTACATGAGGTCATCTGTTGGCATGGGTGCCCACAGAACCCCATGTTCATAATGACCTTGAACTTGGGAGTTTCGCACTTTGCAAGTACAGTCTGACCTTCCTAGGGTTCTTAGAATCTGTGTCTTGTAAAGGAAGTCCAATGGAACAATGAATGTGAGTGAGGCCTAGAGCCTTGATTCCTGGGGTCCTTCCTGTTACTCCCCACCTCCCACAAAGAGGTCTCTGCTCCTGCCATGCTTTGTCTCTAGTAGGATCTAGACACACACAAAAATGTTGGGAGTAGGTTCATGCACCCCCTTTTATCTTAGGGTGGAGTATGGTGGCAGCTGTCACCATGAACTGGGAACTCTGCAGCATGTTCAGTGGGTAATTCAAGAAGGGCAAACCTGTCTGTCTCCCCCGATCCAGGTAATTAGTGCATCCTGAAATGGGAGGTGTGAAACCTTTGTGGTATCACCTTAGCTTAGGGCAACAAGTCCTTGGGAAGAAGAGACAGCTATCTGGCTGGACTTCCCTCTCCCTAGCTGCATTATGGCACATGGTTTCAGCAGCATGGGTTCATGGGGGACATCAGGCAGTCGATGGGTCCCTTGTCCACTTGTCCACTTTGTCACTGAGCCTATGAAAGACTGTATTCCCTCTACACATACCTCCTGCCCAGAGGAGCGTAGTGATGCAAACAGCAATCAGAAAACAGCATGATGTGCACAATGGCAGAAATGTTCTTAATGTCAACTGCAGTGAACACTAAAAATGGTTAACATGGTCAATACATTATGATATTTTCCCGCCAAACATATATATTTACGAGGTTTTTTTTTAACACAATGCTAGTACAGTTGGAGAGAGACTGCAGCAGGAAGAAACCCATTGCCTTCCACAAAGTCTTTCTCCCTGCTTTTTGAACAAGGGGTCCCACATTTTAATTCCCACTGAGCTCATTAAATGAGGCAGCCAGGCCTGCATGTTGGCCACACTACCATGTGTTTTTGCCTCTCACAGGGCCTGCCCTCCAGGCCTTGAGGAAGTCATTTGCTGAGCCGACATTTACCTTTTCTCTCTGCTTCCCTGACAGGTATCGTGTTGGCCGTGTGTCAAGCTCTAGAGAACAGCACGTCCCCTCTGAGCGGTGAGTTCAGTCTCCTTTAAGGATGCAGATAGGGTGTGGTCTGTGGATGTGACTTCTGAGGGGCCTGAACTCTCACCTAAAGAGCTCTTTCCTGGGCCTCCTGCACACATACCCTGGCTTATCCCCAAGCCCTTCCATCCTCTCTTGGAAGCAGAGAGGAGCCCATGGAAAGGTTGTTGACTGTGGGCCTGAGGGAAGTTGTGCTGGATCCCTTAGGGGGCCACCTGCTCCCATTGCCCATTGACTGTGCAGACTGGTTGTGTTGGAAATTAGGGCCTAAAGGGCCCAGTTCTGAACCATCCACGCTTATCTCGCTCATGTAATAATCAGTGTTCTCTGCTTCTGCCTAGTGGTCTTTGCCTAGTGGTTATTTTCTGTTTCATGCTTTGATATTTGTAGCAATGGTTTCCTTTTCTATTTTCAATTTTAAAAATTATCCATCAGCCATTTGGCACGCTTGGGAAGTATAAGAGGCAAACCCTTGTCATCCCAGCACGGCAGAGAAGTAACCATTATTATGATTGTACCTTGCTTGTAGCCTTTGTTCCTGCCATTCATGTTTTTATATGGTCCCTTCTGGTCATTTTAATTCCTGCTTTTAGAACTCAGGGGTTCCATGTAATTGGAATATCCTGAAATCTATCTTTTTAAAATGTTGCCACATCCTGTTCAATAGGCACATGAAATTTGTGTTCTCCTCTGGATATTTAAGGTGTCTCCAGCTTTGTCAGTTATGATGCTGTATCTTCCTGCATTTCCTTTTATGTGGATTAGTTCTCAATATATACCTCCAAAAGCATTTGGAGATACTTGATAGGAACTGCCGAACAGCTTTTCAGTGAACTCTGGTTAGCAGGGCCTGAGCCTGTAAGTCTTGCTGTTCCCTTGTTAACATAGGGCATATTTCCCTGGCTTCTACTCCCATCTGCTCTGCTGCGTCTCCATGGTAATCAGAGAGGTCTGTGAGAGGGGGCAGATTTCCATGCATTCACTGATATTCTAACCAGTCACCCACAGTTTCTGGTACTTTACTCTTTGCCTCTTCCAGACCTTTCCTTCCACAGCCTCCAGAGGCAATGCCCCCAATTCCCCTGGCTACCATTGTTTCTGTCTTCCCCTCCCCCATTAATAGTTATGGTCATGCAAAAGGTGGTGAAGCCACCTGGTGGCCTATGATGACCTCTATGTCACCATCTCTTCCTCTATGTCATGCTTTGTGCAGAGGTGTGTGAAATGTGGGAAGGAGTAGAAGGAGTTGAAGGTGTCCTTCGGGAGCGCAGGGCCTATCAGTTTCCATAAAGCGGTTCTCCCACTTCTGAACCACCCCCCACAGCACAGGGCACTGACACGAACATATGGAAGAATCACCCCAACCCCCTTCCTGGAATGTACTTCCTACCAGCACCTCTTTATTTAGCCTTTACTCTGTAAGTAGATGATGCTGTCTTTCATTTTAAATTTGCATTTATTTTAATGTTGCTTTCTACTTGCATTTATTGACAGGTACACACTATTTTTGTAAAGATGTATTCATTCATATGCAGAGTGACTTTCACATCAGAGTCCTTCCTAACTCCTATGTCCTGGGTAGAGCCATCCATTGAATGGTGTGTAGATGGCGATTTTAAGACAGGAACTGTAAGAGCTTCACCCATATTATAAATATCAATCATGAACATAAGATCAGTTTTGATACATTCCTGACTGACCATTGTAGCCAGAGGCCTGTTGGGATAGTCAAGATGAAGCCCTAGCATTAAACAAGAGCATCATAGAGAAAATTGTGAATTCCATGTACCATTCACGGGTTGCACATGGGTTCAAAGGGCCGATCCCATGTGGTTTCCTTGTGAATTTCTGGGATGGGGCAAGGGAAATCTAATCATGTTTTGATGGTTGCCCTGGCCTTTCTTATTAAAATATCTTGATTTCTTTCTTCCTCTTGGTAAAGGAGGTAAATCATACCAAAGACATAGGACACTGATTGTCATCAGTGAATGTGTCTCAGACATTTACTTTGGGTGGAACAGTGGAAGAAAGGAAGGCCTTAGGCCTACTTGGTCTCAGTCTTTTCAAGTCACTAGGCAAGTTAATCATCAGGTTTCTGTTTAGGTTAGTTTCCTCGCCTGTGGACTTGACTCAGGAATGGCCTGGGTAGATTGATAGAGAGGACTTGGAAAGCCCTGCTGGGAAGAAGCGTTCAGAGGACACCTCAGGGTTGCAGGAAATAGTGCAGTGCTGAGTTGATGGCCATGGTGGCAGTGTAGGGAAGTGGTATATGACCGCCATGTAGAAATGGCGCTCCATCTTCATGAGTTCTGCATCTGAGGATTCAAACAACTACAGATCAGAAATCATTGGGGAAAACTGCCATTCTGGTGAACATGCCGCCAAACTCCCCATCATTATTTCCTAAATAATACAGTAGAACAATTTACGAAGCCTTTCAAGCCTTTCCACTGTTTTCAGTATACTAAGTAATCCAGACATGACTTCCAGTGTGCAGGAGGATGAATAGAGGCCATATACAGTTACTACACCATTCCCTATAATGAACCTGAGTGCCTGTGGATTCACTGTCTGGGTTGGAGAATGGTATGATAACAAATCCCCCAGGGATCCAGAGGAGGGGCAACTATATTTAATGCTCTTGGAACTAGATGCTACTTTATTTTCATTGCTAGAAGCATCCCAAGAAGTGAGCCTTTTCTGTTTTGTCCTAAAGGAGGCTACCCTACAAAGGACAAGAGAGCATAGGAATTTATTAAGATGGTCTGGGCTATCTCAGATGATTGCTTGCCATAGACATTAAAAAATGATCTCTACCAGACAGAGTGAAATCAAGAACCTTGGAGTTAAGAAACAAAAATGTTAATCTGGTTGGTTGTCAACTTGTAAAGCATGAGGGGAAATATTAGCTGGAGGCAGGGAGAGGGTGGCAGCACCCCAGCTTAGAACACCTGTCACACCCTCCAAAGGAAGGAGTTATGACCTATCTTCAAAAGACACGTTTTAATACCCCTGAAAAGGGACAGAATGCACCCTGGTTACAAAGTTGTTGGGTGGCTGCTTGCTTAACCCTCAGAAATGTTGCACAGTTCCCAGGCTGCCCATCTGGTTCTGATATTTTCATGAGACTCACTCTAATGACCTAGGGGGTGTGGTGAGGACCTTGCTCAGCTGCCTGGGAGCCAGACTCCAAGTTTCCCTTTGCTATCTGCCTGGCATGATCTGCAAACTCAGGGTGGCTCTCTAGATCTCTGAACTTCTGCTCCTTCCTCTTGCCTGTGTCTAAGGACACCCACCTGGAATCAGGGTGTGTTTGAGGGTTTGCTTAATTTAGTGTCTGGAGGAGACTTTCCAGAGATGATGAAAGAACATGGAAAATTCACAGTGGAGTTATTCATGGGAAAGAAATGCCACCAGCATCAGCTTGCTTGGGGAGATGGTCTGATCAGGTGCGGGCAGGAAGGGGTTCCTCCTGGACTTCTGTCTGTTGAGATGGTGAGTTTGGACTGGAGTGCACAGAAACAAGGCAGATAAGATAAAAAATTATAAGGAAAAAAATCCTTGAAGGCTTTACTTGTTGGGAAAACAGGTAGAACATGGATCAGCCAGCAAGCAAAGGATTTGCTTATTGCTCATCTCATCTAACAAAAGCTTTTCAGAACTTTAAACTGCTTCCCCGTTCCATTGTCTAGAGCTTTCCCACGTGGAGCTGAAGTCATTCTAAAATTAGAGGCCTCACATGTTTGTCCCAGGTACATGGTTTACCTGTTCCAAATAGGTGTCTGTAGCACAAGAGACTTGCTATGTCTCAGTCTGGAGATGAAACTGCACACACCTGTGTGTGTATGCGCTTGTAACACCTGCTCAGAAGGGTATGGAATGAGAAATCTTCCTCCCCAATGCAGGGTGTATCTCCACACTGTCATCCACTTCCTTGTTGTACCTTGTGCTTTTGGCTGGGCCAGTTCCTCTTTAGCAAAGGCTGCTCAGGGTAGTAGAAAAAACTCAGTATGGAAACGAGGTTTGGAATTCAGACTCTCAAGCTGAAGATATGTTTTTAAAAAGCCCTAAATCTCCTGAATCTCAGTTCCCGCATCAAGAAAATGAAGGAATGGGATTAAGTCAATGACTGCTCAAACTTTGAGTTACAAAATCACTTTGACTGGGGCCCAAATGGTATTTCATTTTAAAAATTGTTGAGTTGCTAAGAATAGAGATATTTGGAGTGTATTATATAGAAGAAAGTTTTCAAGATTTTTTTAGCGTTTGATAAATTAATATATTGACATTCTGCATCAGTTACATGAATTACATCCATATAACATCCTCCATAATTTCCAGATTTGACTTCTTCACAAGAACTTAACACTTGCAGGGTAAGTATCATAAACCTTTTAGGACCTTTACATTTCCCAACACTTTGATAGACTGGTGGGGGTGGGGAGTAGCACCGGCAGTGCCTGAGCTGTGTCCCTGAGCTCAAGGCTAACATTCTACCACTTGAGCCACAGTTCCACTTTCCGCTTTTTAGTGATTAATTGGAAATAAGAGTCTTGCAGACTTTCCTGAACCAGTCCTCAGATCTCAGCCTTCTGGGTAGCTAGAATTACAGGTATGCGCCACCAGTGCCTGGCTCTATAAACTTTTATAGTTGCCTTGTCTACCCCTAACTTGACAGTAGTTCTTTAAGGCACCCATTTTTGCCAACCCTTTCCAAAACACTCAACTAATAGAAACAACAGCTTTTTTCTTATGCACAGACATTTCATTAATTTATATAATATGTAATTAAATTATGCAAATATACTGACTACAACTGACATAGACAGACTCAAGAACAAATCAGAATGATCTCTTGGTAAATGTCTAACTTAACTGAACCAGGCAATGGCAGCTCCCACCTGTAATCATAGCTATTTAGGAAGTTGAGGATGGGAGGGCTATGACTTGAGGCCAGCCCAGGCAGAAAAGTACACAAGAGTCTTTCTCAA